TCAGAATGAAACTTCTTCCTCACTTAATCTCAACAGCGATGATATTATCACATATGTGCACTTACCTGGCTCACAACAAAATGCCGTTCCGATTTATTTTCACCAGCTTACTCTTTCCTCAGATGACACTTCCAGTCAAAGTGCAACTGCTGAACAGAGCAACATCGACAATAAGCACTCAGATAACTTGAATATCCTCAATTATAGGGAAAATGCCTATAAAGGATTAGAAACAGGTAATGACAAATTGCATAACAAAGTTCCGTTCTAATAATTCCTTACTTCATTAATAACGTGATATTGAAGAAAGAAGTAATAACGAATCGAAAATAATTTCATCACAGCAGAAAATTCACAATTACCTGCTAAGTGAGACCTTTTTAGGGAAGATATTAAAAGTGATTTTTGCTACAAATATGTGCGAAGATAAATAAACAACTACTAATTATCTAAGCCATTTAAAATGCTATGTGATATTATTTTATTTTTATGATTTCTTACATTACTTAAGTACTGAATAGTGTAATAAACTACTGATTGCAAAAGTAAATGTTTGACAAAAATTTTCCAGATAAGAATGATTATACTTGTCGTTACCCGGGATGTACAGTGATCACGAAAGCTCGCAAAGAATATCTAACACACAGGAAAACCCACGGTCAACCCTTCATCTATGAATGCAGAGTGCCCGGTTGTGGGCGAACATTCGACCATAGATCATCATTTTATACCCACATAGAAACGCATGAACTTCGTCCTCAGTGCGAGGATTGTGGCAAATTCGTCGTCAACAGGAATGCACTGCGAAAACACAAGAGACTCTGCCAAAAAAAATCTTTCAGTATGTAAATTTAACAGAATTTCAAATACATGTATCATCCTGAAATGGAATGCGTGTGAAATATGATACGAAACATTTGTGAGTGCTGAGTGACAACACAACGAAAAATTCACAATTACTGTTTTTGTTGTAACTATACTCAGAAATAATTAAACAATTTCTTGTGATCTAAATTATTTGAAATGGAATCTGGTAAGTAAGTTATTTCATGGGAATGATATCTTTATGGTTTATCGCATAAGGAAATATCAATTCAGACGAACGAAGGTATGAATGCCTTTATCCTGGATGTGCTATGGTCACGAAAGCTCGCAAAGAATATGTAACACACAGGAAAACCCACGGTCAACCTTTCATCTATGAATGCAGAGTGCCTGGTTGTGGGCGGACATTCGACCGTGAATCAACATTTTACAATCACATACAGACGCATGAACCTCTTTCTCAGTGCGAGGATAGCAGCAAATTCTTCAGTAGCATGAATGCACTATTTAGACATAGGAAACTCTGCCAAATAAAATCTCGTTAGTTTGAAAATTTAACAGCATTTTAGAAGTATATGACAGCTTAAAATAGAATGCATGTACAAGAAAAAATACACAGAAAATTTGGCTTCTAGGATGTAAATTATTTGAAATGAGATGTGCTAAGAAGTGATGTTTTTATAAATAATCAGATTACAGAATTGGCTGTCAAACATTGTATGAAAAAAAATGGCGACTGCAGAAACAAATAATATAAGAGTTTTTTAGGCGGAAAAAACTACGAATGTCTCAACCCCGGATGTGCTATGGTAACGAAAAGTCGCAAAGAATTTATAACACATAAAAAAACACACGGTTTGCCCTACATTTATGAGTGCAGAGCGCCCGGTTGTGGACGAATATTTGACCATGATTCATCATTTTACAATCACATACAGACGCATGAACCTCGTCCTCAGTGCGAGCGCTGTGGCAAATTTTTCATTAGCAGGAATGGACTGAATTATCATAAGAAGCGCTGCTCTACAAAATCTCGTTAGTTTATAAATTTAGCAGAATTTTAATAGATATGTCAGCCTGAAATAGAATGCATGTAAAATTTGTTGCGAAGCATTTGTGACCGCAGAGTGACCTAAGAACCAACTGCTTAAAGAGGTGTTGACAGTGGTGACAGTGACGTTTCAATATACATCAACAAACACTGAAAATATTAGCAATGTAATGAATATTCCATCCACTCTTGGCCAAATTGGCTTTGTTTTTCTAATTCGTGGAAAGTATGCAGAAAAACATATCATTTCATCTATAAAGCCAAGCTGCCATGAACTGCTAATCATTTCTTTTGGCGTAACAAAACAAGTAAAAATTTTCATTCCAGAAAATGAGATACAATTTGGGCATTCTTCGCAAACATAAGAAAAGGAGCGCAGCAAACAGACGTTTTCGAAGTATCAGAATGCAGCTAATAATTTATAATTTAATTTTGTTACTGGATTATTTAATATTTTATCGTTATTTATTATCCCATGAATATCATAGAAATGCATAAATTATAATTGACAATGAAACCTAAAATTTGAGGGCAAGCAATTAATGTTGTGGAAGGTTTTGATTTGCTTAATTAATAATATTGGAAGAGGTGTTTGATCGCAGGAGATTGTCTTGGATGTAAATGTAAATGCGTGAGGTAACAGAAATATAAACCAATTTCTTTATTAGCAGAAGTAATAGGACAAAACGTTGATAGAGAACAATTGAAATTGGAATCATCGGTCCTTGGCTATGAATTACACATATCCCCAATCTTTTAACAAGAGTGAACCTTATGTAACAATTATCTTATATTATATATGTTAAAATGTAGGAATGGTTTATAATTAGACATTTTTGTACAAAGTATGATAGTAAGTAACTTTAACAATAGGTTTAAAAATGGATATCACGATGAATTGAATAGTTATTACAAAAGAAAGTACAATGGTTTGTCTAGACATTATGATAATTGGCTACTATGAGTTACAATAGACATTACATGATAGATACTCATAGCATATGAATTGATATGAGATCAAAAGTCAATTAAACCAGTACAATGAATTGTAAAAGATATCAATGGATTGCTATATTAAGCATTGTTAACATTTATTTAGTGCTTCGCGAAATTAAAATCCGCGACAATTAAATGCAACGCTCAGTAAAGGATTTATCATGCAAAAAGGTAATAAAAAACATACTAGAAGTATTATTTTAATAATAATTTGTGGCAAAATTGGGCAACACGAGATGATTTTAAGCAAAGAAATAGTTTTATAAGAAAAAAAAGTAAGCTAGTTGCAATTTAGTCTAAGTCTTAATGTGCAAAATAAATGGTAGATGATGAAAGAACTTCTATTACATCATTGTTTTTATTATTTACAAAAGTTAACATTTGTAAATAATTTAAAATTTATTTCGTTATATGCAAAATTTGTTGAAATTTGTATTTTAAAAAACTTCAAATAAAAAAAAAAAATCAAATGAAAATAATGCTTAATTTACAATAAATAGTTAAAATTGTTAGCTAAATACATAAGAAGTTGAAGTGATATAATCTTTAGAGAAATTAATTATGATAGCATAAAAATAATGTATAATAAATATCTTGATAGCTTTTATGTGTTATAAGAAATCAGAAATGAATTTTATTAACAGCTATATCACATTAATGCATACAGGTAGACCAATCTGACAAAACCAAATTTATTTTTTTAATTTTGTTAAATGCAATATTTCTAAATTTGAAAGTCACCATTTCAATATTTTCAAATAAATTATATTCAAACAATTGGCAATAATATTATGGAAAGAACTATGACGAAAAATGAAGGGTCATATCGACAGAAGCTATAACACCAGGGAAAATATCAAATAAGTTAAATTTATTTTATCATTATATAAAATTTCAATTTTGTCAACTTTATAACATTTTGAAATTCACATTTTAATGAATTCTATGCTGAAATAATTTGAATATGATGTCATCAAAATATTTTGCAAGGTACTAAAGCTAAAATTATAAATGAAATATACTATCTAAAAGTAATGCAAGCATGAAAACAGTCCGGAATATTTTTAAGAAGTTCTTGACTAAATATACGGGTTAAAGTGGTTATTTTAACTAATTACAATATTATTTTTAATAATCATAAAATTGTTTTGAATCATTTAAAAATTATGACTGATTTGCTTTTGTGACAAATGTTGAAATTTACCTTTCCAATTATTATTGATTTCACAAATAAACTTAAACAAAATTTGACACATTTTACCTTTATTCATTATAAGACTGCATGAAGTGAACAGTTCAAAGCAACCATTTCTTTATTACTATTTTAAAGAATAAATTACAATTGTTAAATTGCAAAAAAATTTATACGGGAAAATAATTTTCCATTAAATGCCATATAAAATAGATTTAAAATTTTATCAACCTGATTCATTTGGTTCTGTAATACTGTTGCGTGAGTTTAAAAGAAAGAAGAAATTAATCCAGTCTGAAAAAACTCGCATTTAATTGCTTGCCTTCAAATTTCGCTGTTAGTTATACATTTATGCATTCCTATGGTATTCATGGAATAATGAATAATGATAAAATATTAAATAATCCAATAACAAAATGAATTTATAAATTGGTAACTGCATTCTGATGCTTCGAAAACATCTGATTGCTGCGCTCCTTTTCTTATGTTTGCGAAGAATGCCCAAATTGTGTCACATTTTCTGGAACGAAAATTTTTACTTGTTTTGTAACGCCAAAAGAAATGATTAGCAGTTCATCGCAGCTTGGCTTTATAGATGAAATGATATGTTTTTCTGCATACTTTCCATGAATTAGAAAAACAAAGTAATTTGTCAAGAGTGGATGGAATATTCATTACTTTGCTAATATTTTCAATGTTTGTTGGTGTATATTGAAACGTCACTGTCACCACTGTCAAAACCTTTTTTAAGAAGTTGATTCTTAGGTCATGAAAAGTTGCTACATTGAGAAAACGATATGAAAATACACAGTATCTAATGAGCGCATTAAACAAATTTTGTATTGTGACTCTGTGGCCACAAATGCTTCGCAACAAATTTTACATGCAGTCTATTTCAGGCTGATATATCTATTAAAATTCTGCTAAATTTATAAACTAACGAGATTTTTTTTGGCAGATCTTTTTGTGTTTTTGCAGTCCATTCCTGTTGGTGAAGAATTTGTCACATCCCTTGCATTGAGGACGAGATTCATGCGTTTGCTTATGGTAGCGAAATGATGAACCATGGTCGAATATTTGCCCACAACTGGGCGCTTTGCATTCATAGATGAAGGGCTGACCGTGTGCTTTCCTATGTGTTATATATTCCTTGCGACTTGTCGCAATCACAGCACACCCGGGATAGAGGCATTCGTAGCTTTTTCCACCTAAAATGAAATGATATGTTTTTCTGCATACTTTCCGTGAATTAGAAAAACAAAGTAATTTGTCAAGAGTGGATGGAATATTCATTACTTTGCTAATATTTTCAATGTTTGTTGATGTATATTGAAACGTCACTGTCACCACTGTCAACACCTCTTTAAGCAGTTGGTTCTTAGGTCACTCTGCGGTCACAAATGCTTCGCAACAAATTTTACATGCATTCTATTTCCGGCTGACATATCTATTAAAATTCTGCTAAATTTATAAACTAACGAGATTTTGTTTGGCAGATCTTTTTGTGGTTTTGCAGTCCATTCCTGTTGGTGAAGAATTTGTCACAACCCTCGCACTGAGGATGAGGTTCATGCATCTGTATGTGATTGTAAAATGATGATTTATGGTCGAATATTCGCCCACAACCGGGCGCTCTGCATTCATAGACGAAGGGTTGACCGTGTGTTTTTCTATGTGTCACATAATCGTTGCGACTTGTCGCAATCACAGCACACCCGGGATAGAGGCATTCGTAGCTTTTTCCACCTAAAAAACTCTTATAATATTTATTTTTGCAATTGCCATTCTGTTACAATGTTTGGCAACTAATTATGTAATCTGATTATTTATAAAAATATCACTCCTTAGCACATCTCATTTCAAATAATTTACATCACTAGAAGCTATGTTTTCTAAAAATTTTCTGTGCATTTTTTCTTGTACATGCATTCTATTTTAAGCTGTTATATACTTCTAAAATTCTGTTAAATTTTCAAACTAACGAGATTTTATTTGGCTGAGTTTCCTATGTTTAAATAGTACATTCATGCTACTGAAGAATTTGCCGCAACACTCGCACTGAGGATTAGATTCATGCGTTTGCTTGTGACTGTGAAATGTTGAATCATGGTTGAATGTTCGCCCACAACCGGCCACTCTGCATTCATAGATGAAGGGCTGACCGTGTGTTTTCCTATGTGTTACATATTCTTTATAACTTTTCGTGACCATAGCACATTCGGGATAAAGGCATTCATAGCATCGTTCGTCTGAATTGATATTTTATTATGGTTTTTGGCAGCTAATTGACTAGTGTGATAAACCAGAAAATATCACTCCCATGAAATAATCTTATCACATTCCATGAGTTTAGATTACAAGAAGTTGCTTAACTGTATAGTTTTTGAGTATAGTTACAACAAAAAGTGTAATTGTGAATTTTTCAATTTTTCATTGCATCAACACTCGCTGTCACAGATATTTCATAATGGATTTCACAGACACTCTATTCCAGGTTGACATATGTGTTTAAAATTTTGCTAGATTTGCAAACTAACGAGATCTTGTAGGGCAGCGCTTCTTATGATAACTCAGTACATTCTTGCTGACAAAGACTTTGCCACAGCACTCGCACTGAGGATGAGGTTCATGCGTTTGTCTGTGGCTGTAAAATGTTGATCTATGGTCAAATGTTCGTCCACAACCGGGCACTTTGCATTCATAGATGAAGGGTTGACCGTGTGTTTTCTTATGTGTTGCATGTTCGTTGAAATTTTTCGTGGTCACTATACATCCCGGGTAATAACAAGTATAATTTTTCTTATCTGAAAAATTCTTGTCAAAGCATTTTGCAATCAGTAGTCCATTACACCATTTGGTACTTAAATAATGTTGGAATCATAAAAATGTCATTGTCATAAAAATATCACATTGCATTTTGAATAACTTAGGTAAAAGGTAGTTCTTTACTTACTTTCTCATATTTTGAAGCCAAAGTCATACTTTGAATGTCGCCTCTTCAATTTCATGCGAATAATGAAAGCAAAGAACTATTAGAACGAAAAGTTGTTATACAATGTGTCATTTACCTGTTTCTGATTCTTGTTCAGCATTTCCATGTTGACCAGATGTGTCGCCTGAGGGAAGAGTAAGTTGATGAAAATGGGTTGGAACGGCACTTTGTTGTGGACCAGGTAAGTGCATATATGTGATAATATCGTCGCTGTTGAGATTAAGTGAGGAAGAAGTTTCATTCTGAGCATCTAAATAACTCAAATTACAAGAAGTTTATTTATCTTTTCATATATCTAAAGCAAAAGTCTCACCTATAATGGAAGGATATCGCACGTTATCATCACTCGTTTTTAATTCTTCATTAGCATCTCTCCACAGATTCCTGTATGAGTCCATATCTGATAACTCCAAATTAGTGTGGCCATAGATATCGGAGAAGCCAGGATGAGGAGAATTTGTGATCTGATTAGTTTCAGATCCCGATTCTTCACTTCTTATATTCTCAGTTTCACTCAACTGAGCGAAATCAATGAACTGCGAAGGATCCAACGGAAATTCTGAGCTAAACAATGGCTCAAAATTGTTGTAATCGAAGATATCAAGGCTATCTGAGATGCCAGAAAAAGGGTCGATATTAGGTAGATTGGAAGTTTCATTATCAGAAGCGATGCATAGTAGAAGATTGAACCAAGTGATGGGTGTCATAAATTTATTGAAGAACATGGTGAAACACAATTTTGTGAGATGACAGAAATGCTCAAATGGAAGCTTTTTATTTCAGATTGCTTGGAATTAAAGACCAAAGGTGAAACAGTTGTTTTAATATTTTTTCCCTTTCATTCTCGCTTTCTTCTCCACCATTGGTAGTTTATGAAGTCTGTAAATGTTCTTTTGAAACTCGATGGAAGTGCTGCAGTAGCGTGTTCTACCATTTCAGTAATACATGTACACTGGGTGACACCACAAGAAATGGTATTCTGATGCATTTAATAAAATACATATCACTAATAATATCACTGATAGAACTTCATTGGATCACTTGAAATTTGATAAATATTGCTTATTGACATACATCCATAACTATTCCTACTATTATAAAAAAAATTTCAACATAAGCTGAAGCGGTATTTGATATTTGAAAGGATGGAGCAAATTTCAAAAAAAAAAGTTTGGTTGACATTTGCATAAAGGAAACTAATGAATAGCTGGAATTAAATGTCATTGAAATATTTAATCTGTGCAGTATATAATGATCCTGTCTACTTTGTTTAATAAAATATTGTATATTGAATGGTAAATAAAATATTGAATGAATTATTTGCATGTTGTAAAAATTTTAGGTTTTAAATTTTGGTGACATCAATTAACTGACAACTGGAAATATATTGGTTTACTTCCGATGTTTATTCTTAACTATTGTTTACCATCTTACTCATATTTTAATTGATCATATCCAATTCTATCTCAACATATGCAATAATTCACAATCGATCGAACTGTAGTAGGCATAATCCTCGGTCAGATCGGTCAGAAATGGAAAGTAACACACAATGAATTGATAGGAGATATGTGAAAACTTTAGTGTGAATGGGTGGTGGTCAATGCAGTGGTAATTAATAATGATTCTAACTAACCAGAAGTTTAAAACACCATTCTTTTCATTTTAATCTCTGCCTTTCTTCAAATTAATTCAGCAACTCAAATAATGAATCAGCAAGGTAAAGAAGTTTTCAAGCAAGTGATAGAAGTAATTGCACAAAATCAAAATGCATGAATGGAAATTGATGAATAGTTGGAATCAAATATCAGTAGGTGATGAAATGTTTAATCTATACAGTATTGAATAATCCTAATTGCGTTTCTTAAAAAAATATTGCTACTGAATTATTTGCACATTATGGAAATTTTAGATTTTAAATGTCAGTTGATTGACAGTTACAACCTTTTTACGAAAGTTAATCAGTTTTTTTAATCAAGTTAATCAGCACAAAATTTAATTTCGATAAATCTAGCATGAACTTTTGCGGTAAAATCCAGGTCTCAAATCAAAACAAAAATGTTTTTATAAGAGATCTTTTCTTTTTCTGTTCTGTTCTATTGTCGGTTATGATTTGTGACAAGTTTAATGAGTAAAAGGCTACGAACTGATTTGCTTAATACTATAGTCCCAGGAAAATATTTCAACTACCCGAGAATTGGGATCACTTACTAATGATTCTTTTTCTTGTGACATTAATTGAATATTGGACTTATTATTATTGAAGTGTAAGTGGAATTATTATTATTGCACAAAATTCAATAAATCTAACATGAACGTTTTGCGGTGAATGTCCGATCTCAAATCAACTCCAAAAAATAGTTCAACTCCAGGGTAGAGGAGCAACAAATATAGTCAACAAATATAGTTGATAGCATGAGAGCAACAAATATAGTTGACAGCATGACATAATAATGAGTGCTAATGTGACTTTCAAGAAAGCAGTATACTATAAAATGGGAACAGTTAGCCGCGGGTTGCTTCTTATCCCTAATGTGAACTACCCGTGGATATAAAGCAAAAGCAGTAGTGCTGCCTAGGTTTTCCCCTTCTCCTATGGAAAGAACCATTCGATGATAATTCTAATGAAAAAGAAGAGATGGGGTCATGATTAGTGTTAGCCTATTTGCTGCTTCTATGAGTATTGCTCTATTGGCAATATTCCTACTAATATTTTATTGGATTATTTGATTCAAAAATTTACCGACGATTTCCTTTTTTTAATATTTATGCATTATTCCACATAATTATAAAATTCTTTTTCACATTAAGAGTTTGCAAAGTACTAAAGCTAAAATTGATATAAAAATTCAATTCTGTATTAGCGATTTACAGGATTTTATTGATTCATTGCTGAATTTGTGATAAAAAATTTTTAAATCAATATTTCAGTAATAATTTATCATTTTAAATTGATATTTCAAATAATTTATGACATTATTATTTTGCCATCAAAATATTGGCTGAAGATATAGCGCCAGGGAAAAATCACAAATAAATTCAAATTTATATTATAATTCTTCAAAATTTCAAATTTGTAAATTACCTAATTTTCCGGAGTTCGGGTTTTTAATAAATTCATTGCTGAAATTAATTGAATATGATACAAAATATTTGCAAGTACTAAAGCTAAAATGATATTAAAATTCAATTCTGTATTAGCGATTTTTTATTTATTGCCATATTTGTGATAAAAAATTTTAAATTCTATTAAATCTGTTTATCTCTCGCAAATTTTAGGAAACTATTAAAACATTTATCACACATAATTCAAGCTATCATAACTAATTTATTTAATCACTATATCACTCCAACTTTTTCTATTAATATATTTCACTAATTTTCTATTTATATTAATTAATCATTATTTTACAATGATTGAAAATTCTCAACTAAAACTTCTCAAAATACATAAAACTAAAGGATAAAAATATTGACTGATGAATTTTGCATACAACGAAATATGTAAATTTTAAGTCGTTTACAAATGTTAACTTTGTAAATAACAAAAACAATCATAAATTAGCAATGATTAAAAGGCTTTAGAAAAATACTTCAAAAAGTCATCATCAATTTATTTTTAAACATTTTTTTAAAAAAAATTTCTCTCACTTTTAATGTTCACTATTAAGCAGGAAAAAATACACTAAATACTGTGATTTGCTATTTCATCAAGTGCTACTCGAAGAATTATTTTAAATGAGTATTATCATAGAGTTTGCGACAATGACGGATTGAAGTAGTATAAATTAAGTAACAGAAGTAATAATTTTGTAATTGCATATTCTTACAATTATTTAAATGCGCTAATAAGCCTTGAAATTTTGCACAATTAATGGCTGTTTGAAATAAAAAAGTATAAAAAAACTTCAATTTATCAATTTATTGCAAAGGCATGGATGAAAAGGATTTGTCTTCCTTATCAATAATATTATGTTTTATAGCTAATTAACAGCTCGATTAGTTATTTGTAGTGTGGAATTCGTTATCAATATTTATGGAAGCATATTATTATCAGAGTTTACAATGCAGTACCCGAAATTGCTAAAAGAGACTTATCATTCTTTCCTGATAAATTTATTTATTAATGATTGTCAATGAAAGTCAATTTTGATTTGAAAAACAGAAAAAGGCAAACTTGTGTATAAATTTCAAAGAATTGGAATTAATCTGAAATAAAACTTTTTAAGAATCTTTAAAAGAGATACACTATTAAGTGGGACGTGATTTAAATACGTCAATAATCTCTAAAAAAGGTAGATTTTATGAACTTCGATATTGACTTAAACACAATAAATAAAAATAAAGAATTAAAAACTTTTTTATCAAATACGGCAATAAATAAAAAATCGCTAACACATAATTGAATTTTAATATCATTTTAGCTTTAGTACCTTGCAAATATTTTGTATCATATTCAATTAATTTCAGCAGTGAATTTATCAAAAACCCAAATTCCGGAAAATTAGGTAGTTTAAAAATTTGAAATTTAAAGAATTATAACATAAATCTGAACTTATTGGGAAATTTCACTAACGCTATACCTTCGGTCGAAATTTTTGGGGCAAAATTCTTTTCATAATAATGACAAAATTTATTTGAAATATTAATTTAAAATGATAACTTATTACTGAAATGCGGAATTAAAATTTTTTTAACACAAATTCAGCAATAAATTAATAAATCAGAGTTAGATATGATCAATTAAAATGTGAATAAGATGGTAAGCAATAGCCATCAATAAATATAGGAAGTAAGCCAACATATTTCCACTTGTCAGTTAATTGATGTCACCAAAATTTAAAACCTAAAATTTTTACAACATGCAAATAATTCATTCAATATTTTATTTACCACTCAATATACAATATTTAATTAAACAAAGTAGACAGGATTATTATATACTGCACAGATTAAATATTTCAATAACATTTAATTCCAGCTATTCACCAGTTTCCTTTATGCAAATGTTACTCCATTTTATCAACCAAACTTTTTTTTGAAATTTGTTCCATCCTTTCAAATATCAAATACCGCTTCAGCTTATGTTGAAATTTTTTTTATAATAGTAGGAATAGTTATGGATGTATGTCAATAAGCAATATTTATCAAATTTCAAGTGATCAAATGAAGTTCTATCAGTGATATTATTAGTGGTATGTATAACAAACCATTTTATATTAAATGCATCAGAATCCCATATCTCACGATGTCACCCAGTGTACATGTATTACTGAAATGGTAGAACACGCTACTGCAGCACTTCCATCGACTTTCAAAAGAACATTTATAAACTTTTAAACCACAAATGGTGGAGAGGAAAGCAGAATGAAAGGGAAAAAATATTAAAAACAATGAGGATTTGAAACTGTTTCACCTTTGGTGTTTAACTTTTCACAACGATTAAAAACCTTTGATCTTTAAATCCAAGCAATCTGAAATAAAAAGCTTCCATTTGAGCATTTCTGTCATCTCACAAAATTGTGTGTTTCACCATGTTCTTCAATATATTTATGACACCCATCATTTGGTTCAATCTTCTACTATGCATCGCTTCTGATAATGAAACTTTCCATCTACCTAATTTCGACACTGCTAATGAAGTTATTACAAATAATACTTATTCTGGCATCTCAGATACCTTTGGATTTCTCGATTACCTCAATTTCGAGCCATTGTTTAGCTC